TTCATTATGATCTTCGCTTTGTTGGGAATTAAATGAAATAATGTTATTCATGTTCCAAAATTTTTGATATAAGCAGCATAAAATATTTCCTGCATCCATATAAAAATTGTTAGTTTAAAATGAACTGATCTGTGTCGATCTCTGCGGTTGTCTGCTCCTTGTCTTGCTATCTTCGATTGATTTCTCCGATCTCCTGCGTCTTGATAGATAAGACAAAATATGTTTATGTAAAATAATTAGAACATGAATGAAAAGCTTTTAAGGAAAATAGATTTTCAAAAGTAATGTTTGGAAAGAGTCACTGCCAAGTGTCATGTCACGTCAAGCTTAATGAAGGTCATTTGGAGGTGATGTCTCGAGATCTATCTGATTACTTGCTGGGAAGTATTCAAAGTTGCTCTAAATTGCCGATAAACCCTGTTGAAATTTTGCAGCCATCCTCAAAATTTATGTCCCAGTTAACTATCTTGGATTATCTCGAACTGTTGGTGAGCAAATCACGAAATTTTTGAGATCTTCTCAAAAATCCTATCCCAACTGCAGATCTCAAAGTAACTTCAGTCTTGGTTTGTTGAAAAGATCTTCTTCCTAAGAAATTTTTAGTCTCTCTCAAAAATTTTATCCTAGTTTCTATCGTAAAGAGAAAAAATAGAAATTTTACGGGAGATATGACCGAGCCCTTGTGGCGCCTACGTATCCCATTGAGGCAAGAATCAGGTCAAACATAGTTCCCTTTCTCGAGGATTAACAAAAATAAGAAAATTACAAAGAAACCGACAGAGGCCGATATAGATCGCCTACGTAACTCATTCTTGAGAATTCAGGTCAAACGTAGTTCAGATACAAAGAAAACTATTAAAAGGGGATAAAGGGGTGACCGAGACCGACATAGGCCGCCTACGTATCTCATTCTTGAAAATTCAGGTCAGACGTAGTTCATTACATAGGGATAGATTCTAAACAAAACAATTACAAGCGAATAGAATAATTACAAGGGAATGACAAGAAAATACAAACTGAAACTTCACACATAGTATCTCTTGACAGCATCTGAGTTGATTGGTTTCGGCCATTCGGTGCCATCCATCTCTGACAGGACTAAAGCACCTCCAGATAACACTTTGCGAACCATATAGGGTCTTTGCCAATTTGGTGCAAATTTCCCTTTGTACTTAGTTTGGTGAGGGAAAATGCGTTTAAGGACCAGCTGACCGACTTCAAATATCCTGGCTCTTACTTTCTTGTGGAAAGCACGAATCATTCTCTGTCGATAAAGTTGACCATGACAAACGACAATCATTCTCTTCTCATCAATCAATGTTAGCTGGTCAATCTGCTTGCGAACCCATTCACCATCACTCAATTCAGCTTCTTGGATGATTCTCAATGTAGGTATTTCAACCTCTGCAGGTATGACTGCTTCTGTTCCATATACCAGCAAATATTGAGTAGCTTCAACTGACGTCCTGACAGTCGTTTGGTAACCCAACAAAGCATATGGCAGCATCTCATGCCAACCTCTGCGATTATCAATCATTTTCCTCAAAATCTTCTTTATGTTCTTATTAGCGGCCTCTACTGCTCCATTCATTTGGGGACGGTAGGTGGTTGAGTTTCGATGAGTAAACTTGAACTGTTCGCAAAACTAGTTAAAATAACTTGCAAACTATATTATTATTATTATTATTATTATTTTATTTTATTTTATTTTTTTGAAATTTTATAAAACTAATTATTTTAAATCGTTTGAAATTGAAGAAGCTCGAAATGATTAATTTATATAGTGGAGGTCCAAAATTGGGTGTCAACAACTAATTTATTTAAATAAATTTACTAGTACAAATATAAAACATAAAATCAAGAAAATAAACAAAATAATTAAAATGATTTGAGGGATATTTTTGTCTTTACATAGACTTATCACATGGTATTATATCTCATGTATTACTAATACCTCCAAATGGAAGGTATTAGAAAGGGATAAGGGTCTTAAAAATACCTCAACTTTGGTTGGATTTGCTGTTGCGATACTAAACTTTAATGAAGACCTATTATCTCCCTAGACTATTTAATACTGTATTTTTTACCCCTTGAACTATTTAATAGTGTATTTTAAAGGTATATATGTGTCCACGTGGTCACATTACTATTTATAATTTTGTATTATTTTTTATGTCCACGTGGGCAAATATATATGTTTAAAATACGGTATTAAATAGTCTAGGGAGGTAATAGGTCCTCATGAAAGTTTAGTATCGCAACAGCAAATTCGACCAAAGTTGGGGTATTTTTCTGACTCTTATCCCTATTAGAAATACATCCTATAATACCATATAGAAGATATAAGTAGTCCATGGATTAGTTATACATAGACCCAATTTCCTACCAAACATAGTACTAAATAATACCATACATAATACATGAACTATTTGTTTTAATGCGGCCTACCAAACGACCATACATGAATAACACTAATACTACGGCATACATGCATGGTGCTTTGGACTATCTCATGTTGAAAATTAAGCGCAAAAATATCAACTACAGTAAAACCTCACTAAATTAATACTCGGTTAATTAATAATCTCTCTAAGATAATAATTTCCTCTGATCCGGATTTGGGCCAATGGAAAAAATCACTCATTTCGATAAGATAATAAGATAATAAAATTTTCTGAAGATCCCTATATAAATATATGGTCCCATTAATATTATAAATTAATAATTCTTTAAAAGTACAAATATGTCTGAGAAAACTCAGTGAAATGTGATTATATTTTGTTCTTTTTTGTTAAAATTTAAATCTAGTAGAAGCTCATCTCTAACTTTTCTTATTGCATCCAAAAATTTCGGTGTTGTCTTTTCTAATTATGCCATAAAATTGTGAAGAGTTCTAGATTCAAGTGTTTCCTTACCCGTAATGGATTGCAAAGATATTGTATCATCTTCAACTTTATCAACAATATTATTTTTCTAATGATAGCAATAATTTGTTCTAAGCTCTGGACCTCTGGACATGTAACATCCATTTTATTGCAGTAACCGAGATCTTTAATCATGACCTCAAGTTTATGAACGACGTTTTCACAAGTGGATTCTTTGAGATTTCATCCCTGAACAATTTTTTCGGTGTCGACACACTTTTTAAATCAATAAATATTAATTTATCGATTAAATAGTATCTCTACAAAATAATAATATTCCATGATCTCACCTATATTAATTTAGAAAGGTTTTACTATACCTACTAACATTTTACCCCAATCCGCAACCTTTGTACCCTCTTATCTAAGGCCATATCCTTAGTCAGGGGCGTATCTAGAGGGGGTGTCGTGGGTTCACGTGAACTCATGCTCCCCTCTCTCATATATAGTAGTGTTATCTTTTTTTTAAAATATTTAAATTTAATTTTGTGAAGCCACGTTCAAAGTATCATATAATAATACGATGATGAGTGGGTGCACCTCTCTAAGTGAGAATAATAATTTAAATCTTTTATCTATCTCATCTTTTTGAGTAACACCTCTCTAAGTGGTTATCAGTTACACTTTTGGTGTTTCAACTATTTTTTCTTTTGTTTTTTCCTTCAAGTTTTCAAAATTTTCAAGTGTGTAACATTAAAAGTTCCTAAAATTTTTAGCACTAGAATATTTTATATAATTAAATGAAATGTGTGTTTTAAAATTATTATATATATTTTGGACCTATAATTTTTATAATCTAATGGTTCATATTAAGAACCAAAAAGTCCAATTGATCAAATTTATATTTAAGATACATTTTTTCATAACCGTACATCCATTTTATCGAAATCCTGAATACAGCTCCGTCCTTAGTGAGCAGCAACATATACTCACTATATATTGAAAAGTTAGTGTAATTATAAAATACGAATATTAAATTTTGTAATACCATCTTTTCCCATACTATTAAAATTGGTTTCTAATAACATTTTTGTACCTCATTAAACAAATATGATGTAATTATAAATAATACTACCTAACTTTTTTTTATGAATAGTTTAGTGTTATGTCACATTAATATCATTAATTTAAGAACATTTTAAATATTTTTGTATATGGTAGGATCTTTTGAATAAAGGGCAAATTCAAACAACATTTCTAAGCGCTTTTAATATAGTATAGATAAATAGATATTATTTAAATGTAAGTGTTTTGTAAATATGTATCCTGTTAATTGATAAAACATTGTGTTCATGATATATTATTAAATACAAAACTTTAATCATGTTACCTTACAAAAAACCATTTTTTGGTTGGTCAAATTGCATAGGGCCAAGCTGCTATTGACACTCCCATACTAATGCTCTCTAAACAAGAATGTCATCCATAGTGAGTCATGAACCCGCCTGTTGACGAATAAGCCAAGATTTCCCAAATCCTTGGGAGGTCATGAAAGTGAATCTTGGCTATGTCTGAAGGATTTAAGGCGTTGGCTCGAACCCTGACCTGATTGTTGTAGTTGACTAAGCCTGACCTGATTACTTAATATGGAATTAAACTCCACCTATATGTGTTCATTCACATTGGCAGTTCCACATACAGATAAAGGAGGAAGGTTGTCAAGGGTCAATTGAAAACAACCTATCTACCCCATAAAGGTAGATAGCTACTTCATCTTGTTTCAACCTGTTAAGTTCATGGTTTGGTAAATTCTCACAGCTACACAAGGAAGAATAAAAAGAGAATTTCGTTCTTCTGTCGTATCCTCCCTGTCTCCTCATTGAGCATTTGTCATGGTACATTAAAAGCTTATATAATCAACTTTTTTGTATTTCTTCAAGGTAATGACTCTGAAGTCTATGAGAATGAACAAAAGTAAACAGAAGATGGACTTGGAAAGTGATATACCATCCATAAAGGTTGTTATTGAAATGCTTATAAATTGAACAAAAGTAAACACAAACAAGTACTTAATTAAACAAAAGGCATACATCCACAATTGGTGGACTCAATTCTAGTTAAACAAAACACAAACAAGTCTATCTTGTGATATGCGCGATGAAAGAATCCAACTCTATTCGAGAAGTACCCCCTTTCTCTGTGGACTGCCTTACAGCTTCTCCCAATTCTTCTGCTCTTTTTCTAATCACATTTCCTTCTTCTGATGCCATCAACTTCCTCACAACATTCTCAATGGTGGATGCATTCACCAACTCCTCGCGTTTCCCCCACTCCCTCACAATCAGGCCTATTTTTAGCACTTCTGTCACCAAGAAACCATTTCTTGGTTGATCAGAGTGCATAGGCCAAGCAGCTATAGGCACTCCCATAGTAATACTCTCTATGCATGAATTCCATCCACAATGACTCATGAACCCGCCTGTAGACGAATGAGCCAATATTTCTGGTTGTGGTGCCCATTCTCTTACCACTAAGCCTACATCTTTTAATCTCTCCTCAAACCCTTCTGGCAGCTCAACTCTTCTATCTTCCCCTTTAAAGATATCTCCTCTATCGGCATCTCTCAACACCCATATGAACTTCTGTTTGCTTTGTTCTAATCCCATCGCGAGCTCCTTGATTTCTCTATCGGAAAATGAAGTTGTTGTTCCAAAAGATATATAAAGTACTGATCTTGGAGGTTGTTTGTTAAGCCAATCCAAACATATATTCTCCCTATTCGAGATATGATCGAATTTAGTAGGCAGAATAGGTCCAATTGCCCATTGTTTCTTGTTCATATTAAGTTCTGCTTGTGCCAGCAAATCAAGATACTTGCCTTCAATTACTCTGCTTGTATTATTAAGATCACCGGATCGAATATCTAGATAGCGTTGCTGAGAAGCTGATAAGTCCCTGATTTCATCTGTCATAATTCCTTCAAGGGAGGGTAGCTTTTTAAGCGATTCTTCTTCATGTTGGTCAGACATCCCAAAAAATAAGCTTATCAAACTGTAGGAAGTTAAAGCTGATATGCAATTAAACATATAGGATTCAGCATTGGGTAAAGAAGAAACATCGTGAACATTATAGGACATTAAAGGATCATGAACAACAATGACTCGTCTTGATTTTGATGAAATATCGCGTAAGAAAGAAGCAATGGGCTCGCGAAGAAGCATAGAGGCATTCCATGATGGTTGAAGATGTGATGGGAATTTGCTCAAGGCATTAAAATCAGGTGATGGTGAGGCAAATTCAGGAGTTGGGATGTCATGGAAGTGGACTTTGGCAAGTTCTGAAGGATTTAAGGCGTTGGCTCGAATCCTGGCTTGACGATTATGTGTGGCCGAGCCAACATAGTAGACAGGAAGACCATAGGAGGAGATTAAACATGAAAGTTGGAGAAGTTGGTTAAGATGTCCTTGAGCTGGAAATGGAACCATAACTATAGCTACTTCATCTTGTTTCAGTTTGCTAAATTCATGGTTTAGTAAATTCTCATCGCTACACATGGAAGCGGAGTTTTGTACTTGTGTTGGATCCTCCCTGTGATCTCCTAGTTGAGCTTGTGTCATGGTAGAAGCAAGCTTATCTATATTCATCCTTTTGTATTTCTATGAGAACTGAACAGAAGTAAACATATGTAAGACTTGGAAATTTTGATTAACCATCTATAAAAGATGTTCTTGAAGTGTTTGTAGATTGAACAAAGGTTAGCAGAAACACGCCATTTTCGCTCAAATTATAGCAAATTCAATCAAAATCCCTTTGAATTACTCGAATCATGTGTCAGCGTGTGAGTGAGTATGTATGTATGTAATAGGATAGAATAGGAAATCCAAACCTTTGAAAATGTGTGAAGATAAGAGGATAAGAGCAAATTCAGACCTTTGAAATGTTTGCTTGTGTGAAAGGAAGAGATATCCTGATCATTATAGGACATTAAAAAAATCAGGAACGACAACAACTCGTCTTGCTTGAGACAAAATGTCCCTAAAGAAGGAAGCAATGGACTCGCGAAGATGCATACAAGTGTCCCAAATCAAGGGGATCTTAGCTATGTCCGAAGGATTTAAGGCGTTGGCTCGAACCATGGCCTGATGGTTGTAGTTGGCTAAGCCAACATAGTAAACAATGAGACCATAAGAAGAAATTAGACAGACAAATTGTAGAAGCTGATTGAGATGGCCTAGCTTTAGAGAAAATGGATACTTTAGCATTTGATAACATGTTCCAAGTCATACATTATGATGGTGCACTTCCCAAATATATCAAACAAAATATGCAGATCTTATCTCTACTTAGTATTTTTCTTGAAACTATATTAATGGAATTTGATATGTTTAACATGGAATTTAACTCCACCTATATGAGTTTGTATGTGAGTTCGTTCACATTGTCAGTTCCAAATCCGGATAAAGGAGGAGATTGCCGTCGAGGGCAGGGGGGAAGTTGCAGTGTTATATGGGGGTTCAGACGAACCCACTGACTTTTACGTAGACCCTATAAACATACTAAAAAATCATGTACAAATATATTTAAATTTTGCATGTGAACCCACATCAAACTAAGATGTGTGGCGTAGTGGTAAGTGCGGGCAGCTTTGTTTCTTTGGCTGGGGGTTTGAGCCCCACTGGCAGCAATTTATATTTTTATTTAATTCAATTTTTCTGGATTTTTTTATTTTGAATTAAAAATGTGCTTTGTGCCTATCTTTTACCCTCCTTTAATTCAATTTTTCCTATATAGATTTTTTTTCTAAATTCTTTTTCAAACAATAAAATAGAAAATTGATAATTGAAAATATTAAAAAAGTAGTGTAATACTCCAAAACAACATCTGACTATTAATTTCAAAATAGATAATTGTAAGTAACAAAAATATAGTGTCATACTCTAAAACAACATCTCACTATTGATTTCTTTTGGAGCATTCAATAAAACGTTAAACCCAAAAAAAAAAAAAAATTAAAGTTAGGGTTCTAATTTTTACTACCCACTTCATTGCTACTGCTTGTTGTCAAAGTGCAGACCTATGCCCTGGTAAGTACTATTTACTCTTTTCAGTTCCTCCTCGGCTCTCCCTTTTCTCTGTTTTTTTTTTTAATTTGTCTTTACATTGTATAACAATTTATTCAAAGATCTTAGTTTTAATCTTTGATTTTAAGATTGTTCCACGTATTAATAATTGATTATATTAATTAAGTTATTGTTTGCTTCTCGGAACTTCAACTGCAAGGCAAGAGTGGCTCAAGGGTGAAGCAAGTAAAACCTTCCCTTTAGATCCCAACAATATTAATGGTGAATTTAATCATTTTAATTTTACTTAAAATAATATTGAGATTATAGAAAAAAATTGTTCAAAAGTTATACTAAAATATAACACTTATCTACCTTTTAGCATAAAATATTTTAGAACTTTAAAATAAATAACTCAAATCTTCATATTAATAAATGAAGTATTTGAAAGTGTACCAAATGATGCATCATTTCTATTTTCAAAGCATAACAACTTGTCGAGTGCAATTTTAATGATATGTTTGTAATATATATATTTGTAATTTAACGATTGTTATATTAGTCTAATATGTTGTTCTATTTTAGAATTTAGAACCCATAAACATCAAATCCTGGCTCCACCTCTAGTCGAGGGTTAATCAAAAACGACTTGTGGAATTACATTGAATTTGCTGTTGTTGTTGATATAATCATTAAGATTACCTGATGTGAAATGAAAATAGTAACTTACTAAACTTTTGGTATATAAAACAGATTTGAGTTATACACACTGATAGTGAATAAATACATTATGTTATAAAAGGAAAATAAAATATTTAAATTTAAAATCTCAAAAGATATTCATATTTCATTAATTAAAATTTTAAAAAACTATAATATATTATTAATAAATTCATAAGTAGTACTGTACTACTATATTTTATTACAGAATATTTTAGATATTTTTTCTTAAAAGTGTAAGGCTTCGGTTTGATTTTGTCTCAAACCACTTGTGTGTTTGAGCCACCGTTGATCATTGCACGTAAGATAAGATCTAAAATATTATAATTGACTTTGCTAGTTTGGTTACTAAGAATGGTGATTTCAGTTGAAAGAACGAAAAAGAAGGAAGAAATGGGTTTTTTCAGTTGGAAAGTTTGAGCGCTACTTCATGTTTTTTGTTAAATAAAATGCTTGCAATGGAACCAGCTGGAATGTAGTAATTGGGAATCGATCTCTCAACCTCACAGTGGAAAACAAACACTCAAACCAGTGAGCCATCCAATTATTTGTGACCGTGGGTTCATTTAGTTGCTATTTGATATATTTTACAAATTATACAAGTAGTTATATCGAATTTTGTCGGATGACCACAGGTTCAGGTGACCCATTTTTTTAACTTAAATTCGCCCCTGGTTCCAAGTCATACATTATGATGGTGCACTTCCCAAATATGCAGATCTTATCTCTACTTAGTATTTTTCTTGAAATTATATTAATGGAATTTGATATGTTTAAAATGGAATTTAACTCCACCTATATGAGTTTGTAGATGAGTTCGTTCACATTGTCAGTTCCAAGTCCGGATAAAGGAGGAGATTGCCGTCGAGGGTTAATCAAAAACGACTCGTGGAATTACATTGAATTTGTTGTTGTTGTTGATATAATCATTAAAATTACCTGATGTGAAATGAAAATGGTAACTTACTAGACTGTTGGTATATAAAATAGATTTGAGTTATATACATTGATAGTTACTAAATACATTAGGTTATAAAAGGAAAATAAAATATTTAAATTTAAAATCTCAAAAGATATTCATATTTCATTAATTAAAATTTTAAAAAACTATAATATATTATTAATAAATTCATAAGTAGTACTGTACTACTATATTTTATTACAGAATATTTTAGATATTTTATTTCTATCTTTGGCTTTTTATGATACCAAAGTCAGAGCTAGTGCTTTCAATATAAAATTCAACCAGAATAACATCATTGTAGTTAAAGACAAAATCAATCAATGTATAAATAAGATCGTTATAGTGATATAATTTTATATAACGCGTACTGATTATAATATGGTAAAATATAATATAACATGAAAAATCAATTCCATAAGAAAATATACCATTATAGATAGGTCTAACTATATGTTTGTGTATATAATAACTTGGACAAAACGACTTGACTTTGTAATAGTATGATACCAAACCATTTTTTCGGACTTCTTATTGAGCATAACGAAATCAAAGTTTAAACCGGCCAATAATTGAGGGATGAGTGGCTGGCAAAGATAGACCAAAAAGATGGATTAAGACATTAAAAAAACTAAAATTTTCAATGGTTTGGATTTGTTTGCCTGTCCTTTTTGCTTTCACAACACAACTTGTGTAAGTCAATGTTATTATTTCATAACTATAATATTATTTATCATTTCAAGAACAACTTCAAAATTTTACAAGTTCAAATCTCATAGACTTCAAAGAGAGGATCTGACAGAAGTACGAAATTTCAATTTTTATAAATCAATCGTAACAGAAGCTCAATCAGGAGACATGGAGGATCAGGCAGAAGTACGAAATTCCGATTTTTCCAAGTCCATGTGTAGTAGCAACTTAAAACAAGATGAAGTAGCTATAGTTATGGTTCCATTTCCAGGACAAGGCCATCTCAATCAACTTCTTCAACTTGCTTGTTTAATCACCTCATCATATGATCTTCCTGTCTATTATGTTGGCTCAGCTACACATAATCTTCAAGCTCAGGTTCGAGCCAACGCGTTAAATCCTTCAGACATAGCCAAAATTCATTTCTATGATATCCCAACACCTGATTTTACCTCCCCTGCACCTGATCCTAATGCATTGAGCAAATTCCCATCACATCTTGAGCCATCATGGGATGCTTGTATGCTTCTTCGCGAGCCTATTGCTTCCTTCTTATCTGATATTTCCTCAAAATCAAGACGAGTCGTTGTTGTTCATGATTCTTTAATGTCCTATAATGTTCAGGATGTTTCATCCTTGCACAACGCGGAATCCTATATATTTAATTGCATTTCAGTGTTCACTTTGTACTGTATTATATGCTTGTCTGTTGGAATGTCTGTTCCACTTGAAGAGGAATTGCTGAAAAAGTTACCTTCCCTTGATGGAATTATGACGGATAAAATCAGAGATCGCGGAGCTTCTCAGAGTCCATATATAGATATTAGATCAGGTGATATCCATAATACAAGCAATGTAATTGAAGGTAAGTTTCTTGATTTGTTGGCACAAGTAGCAAGTGATCAGAACAAGAAAAATTGGGCAATTGGACCAGTTTTGCCTACTAAACTAGATCGTATCTCGAATAGGGAGAATACATGTTTGGATTGGCTTAACAAACAACCTCCAAGATCAGTTCTTTATGTATCTTTTGGAACAACAACTTCATTTTCCGATAGAGAAATCAAGGAGCTCGCGATGGGATTAGAACAGAGCAAACAGAGGTTTATATGGGTGTTGAGAGATGCCGATAGAGGAGATATCTTTACTGAGGAAGCTAGGAAAGTTGAGTTGCCTGAAGGGTTTGAGGAAAGAGTAAATGGGGTCGGGTTAGTGGTAAGAGAATGGGCACCACAACCAGAAATATTGGCTCATTCGTCTACAGGTGGGTTCATGAGTCATTGTGGATGGAATTCTTGTATAGAGAGCATTACTATGGGGGTTCCTATAGCTGCTTGGCCTATGCACTCTGATCAACCAATGACTGGTTTCTTGGTGACGGACGTGTTAAAAATAGGCCTGATTGTGAGGGAGTGGGAGAAACGCGAGGAGTTGGTGAATGCATCCACTATTGAGAATGTTGTGAGGAAGTTGATGGCATCAGAAGAAGGCAATGTGATTAGAAAAAGAGCAGAAGAATTGGGAGATGCTGTAAGGCAGTCCACAGAGAAAGGGGGAGCTTCTCGAATGGAGTTGGATTCTTTCATCGCGCATATCACAAGATAGACTTCATTTTCAAGTATTTTGGTTACTACCTTAAACTTTTATGCCTATGGGTGAGATGATTGCTTTGTATTTCTCTCTTAGCAGATACTTAATATGGTTTAAACATGAATAAATGGTTTTAATCTGTTTATTTGTTCAAATTGGAGTAAAAAGAGTATCTTTAGAGTTGTCTATCGGAAACAGCCTCTCATGCTCAACGCCAATTTAATAGCACACATGACGATCGAGCAAGATCCTAACTTTCAGACCTGTACATGTATTATTTAAATGGTTAAATGTGATGCAAACATGTGAAATTTTAAAACTTGCTAACTAATTTGGATAACACTACCATTATTGATGAGCAAACATGCATTATAATATCAAATACATGTTGACTTCAATGGTGATGAAACTTTGAACTTGTAGACATGCTATCCAATATAATAAGCAAATTAAAATTTAACATAAGTCCAGCTATTTTTACCTTGTATAATAATACATGTTGAACTAACTTGGAATTTTCAACAACACCAGCTGAAAATTAGGATCTTGCTCCTCAGATATGTTTACAATTAGCATTCTAACTTTATATTTAATGCATAGTTTCTAGTTCATGACAGTAAATTAAATAATATCATGAACAGACTGACATTATATATATTCACTTGTTAAAGCCTTGTTATAATTGAGCATTTAGATAACACCAAACTAGCCTCTTGTGATGAATGTCCAGGAAGCTGTGAATTTCATTGAAGGTTGATGTACTTCCTCATTTCCATTTTACTTTTCACGTTTATTATTTACATCTTGGCAAGAGAGATAGTCCTTCTATTTGTATAATGTGGTGCTGTAGCTATTTTCATGTGATTCTGTTGGTCTCTCGATAAAGAAAATGACTTATGCGATAATAACTATTAGTACTTTAGTAGTTGAGTGAACATCTGAGAAATCACAGCGAAAGAATTGAAAAGTTCATCACAGATGATTTTCCCAACAAATAGTAAAAACTTGTTGCGTCTTCAAATATTCTCAAAACTCCGGAGGATTACACTCTCTAACTTAATTACTATCCTTAACTAGAGGCATCAGATTCGAGCTTTAATCTGAAATCACCCTTGGCATGAAGTGTTGTACCTTTCAAAGTGAGACTTTTTGTCCGTAATTAGGATTAGTCAAACTCCAAAATGAATATCAAACATCGGATCGAAACAAATTATGCCAAAAAAAAAATGTACTCCTTTAGACAGACAGTGTGTGTTTTCTGATATTATGTAGTCCTGGAGCATTACAAGATCATCTAAAAAACAGACAAATATATAAAGTAAACAAAATACTTGAAAAGAGAAACCAAAAATGAAAAATATCTAGAAGACCAATTATCACTATCTTCCAAAACTATGGTGAATGGTCACAATAGTACTTCTGCAATCTGCACCACATACTTTTCTTTCCTCACATCCAAATTTTTTTGTCATATGATATGTCCTTTTGTCTTGTAATACCATGATTGATTTCTGTATTGAAAACATCCTTGAATTTGGCGCAAATTATTAATTTTGTCCCCAAACTATTGACAGCCTTAAAAACACCCTCTACTTGACTAACTAAACTAAGATAATACACCCCGATCTACCAAATGACATAGTAAGTGCTCTCAAACTCTTGTAGGAGCAAGGGGTTCTTAATAAAAAGCCGAGAGAAGTGTTGAAAACAATCCTAAACTTGGCGAGGATTTAGAGGCGTATTTCACTCATGTTGCAATATCACAGGTGTATTTAAGTATAGTTAGTCAAGTGAAGCGATGTTTTTAAGACTGTCAATAGCTCGATAATAAAACTAATGATTCACGCTGAGTTTTAAGCGTGTTTTCAATACTTCTCTCTTTTAAAATTCTCATAGACTTAAAAGTTGTTACCCTGCTTCTACCATGACACAAACTCAACCAGGAGAGGATCCAACAGAAATACAAAACTCCGGTTTGTCATTGTCCATGTATAGCTGTGAGAATTTACAAAACCATGAAGTAACTATAGTTATGGTTCCATTTCCAGCTCAAGGCCATCTCAACCAACTTCTCCAACTTTCATGTTTAATCTCCTCCTATGGTCTTCCTGTCTACTATGTTTGTTCAGCCACACATAATCGTCAAGCCAGGATTCAAGCTAACACGCTAAATCCTTCAGACATAGCCAAAGTCCACTTCCATGACCTTCCAACTCCTAAATTTGACTCACCATCACCTGACTAAATGCCTTGAGCAAATTCCCATCACATCTTCAGCCATCGTTGGATGCTTCTATGCTTCTTCGCGAGCCCATTGCTTCTTTCTTACGCTATATTTCATCAAAAGCAAGACGAGTCATTGTTGTTCATGATCCTTTAATGTCCTATAATGTTCAGGATGTTTCTTCTTTGCCCAATGTTGAATCCTATGTATTTAACTGCATTTCAGTTTTCACTTCAGTCTGTTGGCTAAGCTTATCTCGTTCAATTTCTATACAACATGAAGAAGAATTGCTTGAAAAGCTACCCTCTCTTGAAGGAATTATGACAGATGAAGCCAGGGACTTTTTGACTTATTAGCACCAGTATATGGATATTAGATCAGGTGATATCCATAATACAAGTAAAGTAATTGAAGGCAAGTTTCTTGATTTGTTGGCACAAGTAGCAAGTGATCAGAACAAGAAAAATTGGGAAATTGGACCAGTTTTGCCTACTAAACTAGATCGTATCTCGAATAGGGAGAATATATGTTTGCATTTGCTTAACAAACAACCTCCAAGATCACTTCTTTATGTATCTTTTGGAACAACAACTTCATTTTCCAATAGGGAAATCAAGGAGCTCGCGATGGGATTAGAGCAGGGTAAACAAAGGTTTATATGGGTGTTGAGAGACGCCGATAGAGGAGATATCAAGGCATTAAAATCAGGTGATGGTGAGGCAAATTCAGGAGTTGGGATGTCATGGAAGTGGACTTTGGCTATGTCTGAAGGATTTAAGGCGTTAACTCGAATCCTGGCTTGACGATTATGTGTGGCCGAGCCAACATAGTAGACAGGAAGACCATAGGACGAGATTAAACATGAAAGTTGGAGAAGTTGGTTAAGATGTCCTTGAGCTGGAAATGGAACCATAACTATAGCTACTTCATCTTGTTTCAGTTTGCCAAATTCATGGTTTAGTAAATTCTCATGAAAGCGGAGTTTTGTACTTGTGTTGTATCCTCCCTGTGATAGATAGAAGCAGGCTTATCTATATTCATCCTTCTGTATTTCTTCAAGGTATCAACTTTGAATTCTGTGAGAACTGAACAGAACTAGTAAACACATGTAAGACTTGGAAATTTCGATTAACCGTCTATAAAAGATGTTCTTGAAGTGTTTGTAGATTGAACAAAGGTTAGCAGAAACACGCCATCTTCGTTCAAATTATAGCAAATTCAATCAAAATCCCTTTGAATTACTCGAATCATGTGTCAGCGTGTGAGTGAGTATGTATGTATGTATGTAATAGGATAGAATAGGAAATCCAAACCTTTGAAAATGTGTGAAGATAAGAGGATAAGAGCAAATTCAGACCTTTGAAATGTTTGCTTGTGTGAAAGGAAGAAATATCCTGAACATTATAGGACATTAAAAAATCATGAACGACAACAACTCGTCTTGCTTGAGACAAAATGTCCCTAAAAGAAGGAAGCAATGGACTCGCGAAGATGCATACAAGTGTCCCAAATCAAGGGGATCTTAGCTATGTTCGAAGGATTTAAGGCGTTGGCTCGAGCCATTGCCTGATGGTTGTAGTTGGCTAAGCCAACATAGTAAACAGTGAGACCATAAGAAGAAATTAGACTACCATCCAGAGTTTTAAGCGTGTTTTCAATACTTCTCTCTTTAAACAATTCTGATAGACTTAAAAGTTGTTGCCCTGCTTCTACCATGACACAAACTCAACCAGGAGAGGATCCAACAGAAGTACAAAACTCCGGTTTGTCATCGTCCATGTATAGCTGTGAGAATTTACCAAACCATGAAGTTACTATAGTTATGTTTCCATTTCCAGCTCATGGCCATCTCAACCAACTTCTCCAACTTTCATGTTTAATCTCCTCCTATGGTCTTCCTGTCTACTATGTTTATTCAGCCACACATAATCGTCAAGCCAGGATTCAAGCTAACACGCTAAATCCTTCAGACATAGCCAAAGTCCACTTCCATGACCTTCCAACTCCTAAATTTGACTCACCATCACCTGACTAAATGCCTTGAGCAAATTCCCATCACATCTTCAGCCATCGTTGGATGCTTCTATGCTTCTTCGCGAGCCCATTGCTTCTTTCTTACGCTATATTTCATCAAAAGCAAGACGAGTCATTGTTGTTCATGATCCTTTAATGTCCTATAATGTTCAGGATGTTTCTTCTTTGCCCAATGTTGAATCCTATGTATTTAACTGCATTTCAGTTTTCACTTCAGTCTGTTGGCTAAGCTTATCTCGTTCAATTTCTATACAACATGAAGAAGAATTGCTTGAAAAGCTACCCTCTCTTGAAGGAATTATGACAGATGAAGCCAGGGACTTTTTGACTTATCAGCACCAGTATATGGATATTAGATCAGGTGATATCCATAATACAAGTAAAGTAATTGAAGGCAAGTTTCTTGATTTGTTGGCACAAGCAGAAATTCATCTGAACAAGAAGCAATGGGCAATTGGACCTATTCTGCCTAATAAACTCCATCATATCTCAAATAGGAACGATAAATGTTTAGAGTGGTTGAACAAACAACCTCTGAGATCAGTTCTTTATATATCTTTTGGAACAACAATTTCCTTTTCTGATAGGGAAATCAAGGATCTCGCGATGGGGTTAGAGCAGAGTAAACAGAGGTTCATATGGGTGTTGAGAGACGCCGATAGAGGAGATATCTTTAAAGGGGATGCTAGAAAAGTTGAGTTGCCTGAAGGATTTGAGGAAAGAGTAAAAGAGGTCGGGTTAGTGGTAAGAGAATGGGCACCACAATCAGAAATCTTTCATAGAGAGTATAACTATGGGAGTGCCTATAGCTGCTTGGCCTATGTACTCTGATCAACCAATAAATGGTTTCTTCTTGACAGAAATACTGAAAATAGGCCTGCTTGTTAGAGAATGGGAGAAACGCGAGGAGCTAGTAAGTGCATCCACTATTGAGAATGTCGTGAGGAAGTTGATGGCATCAGAAGAAGGCAATGTGATTAGAAAACGAGCAGAAGAATTGGGAGAAGCTGTAAGGCAGTCCACAGAGAAAGGGGGAGCTTCTCGAATAGAGTTGGATTCTTTCATCGCACATATCACAAGATAGACTTGATATTCAAGTATTTCTGTTACTTCTCACTTCAAGAAACTGCATCAGATGTTGTATTTGTATATGTGCATATGACTTTCATGTACCTTCATCCAAACCATTTGAGAACAATCATCAGTCATAGTCACAAAGTACTAAGTATCCTTCTCTAAGAAATCAAAAATTAGATGTCTTCAATTGTATCATTGTCATTAGAACTAATATCATGTTGAGAAAGAAGAGACCATCATAATTACATTGAAATAGCTATAGATTTACAGCACTATACGAACGTTAAGAAGCACGGTCCTCTCTTCCAATTATAATAAGATGTAAATAGGAGGTATAGCAACCTTCAATGAGCTTTAACAGTCTTCTGGACATGCGTCACAAGGACAAATACAGTTGGGATGATCGCGTTCACAGGTATTTAATTAGCAACTTTCTTGGTTTTCATGTGTTGTTTTTCATCACTCATTGTGAGCTAGAAGATGGTAACTGTGATTCATCCCATTCCCATGGCAGCACAGCTGCAAAAGAACTCACCCCCCATCGTACAGAAACACTTCTGTTTCTCATCTGCCCAAGCTAGTAGTGCCTTGTTAATCAAACCTCCAATGATAACTGAGCGTAAAAAGCCATTGACTTCCATTTCTACCGATGATCCAGGATTAAATGACATCATTGAAGAAGCTAAGAGTAGAAAACCTGGAATCTTAAGTCATTCTAGTTCTTGCTCTTTCTGCGATAACTGATTGTGACAAAGCACTTCCAGATTGCTTTTCCATGGCCTTATTTATCATCAGTTTTCGTGAAAACTGTTTACATTACTGCAGCCTCTAGCAGTATATGTTAAAGCAACAACCTCATAACTCCGATAATAAGCTATCAAATGGTGCTTAATAAGCACTATTCTACCTATTTTCCCTCGTTATAATTCTTGGGTATTGTCATCAAGCCCAAAACCCATTGTGAGCTTAATGACCAATATATATTCTCGACCACAGCAAATTTAAATTCTACAAACAGCATATGGTGGTGAGAGTCAGAAATCTAGTTGTGTTCTACTGAGTGCAGTTAAGACAACAGGTCACAAGTTTCTAATGTGAAAGATTGGCTAAAATATTGTTGAAAAGTACTTGTTGTAATTGGTAAAAATCATGTATATATAGTTGCGCTAACAAGAAGACACTACATTAACAAATGCTCGAAGGGAAATCAATTTTTTTATGTAGGGCAATCCCTACTTGTACTGGCAGATAATAGAATATGATGCCAATGAGAGAAAAGATCCAATAGTTTTTGGAGGAGAAAAAATTACTATAAAATTGCAATTGACTTTACAGGTTTTCGTCTAGTTTAAGACTACACATAAGACATGACACAACACTTAAAGATGATCGGATGGAGTTCGTAGAAACAGACTTTCCTCTCTAGAGTTATAGTGTACCATCTAGAGACATTTTTTTAGGAAAGCTTCTTAAGAAGTGAATGAATGTAAATGAGACAATTTCTTCACTATTACAACTGGCCAGACTTAATTATGCGGTCAATAAAGGACGGTACAAGCTCCTTACCACAAAACCAGCTGAGGCAAGAAAATCTGTAAACCTCCTAGTTGACGTGTGTTTGATGTTTTCTAGCCATGAAACAAGCCCCAATATCCCAAACAGGAGTCTTAGTTGGATGTATCGGAGGCCAATCTTGAATCTAAAGAGCACAACTCCTATGGCAGAATCACATTTAGAGTCAGCCTTCAATGAAAGTCCGTATAGTGCATATTCAGCATATGCTAGTAACCTGACTCTCAAGGGAGCACCCAACTTGCTCTTCAGAGATCTTAGGAGCCCATCGGTCCGCAATACTGTGAGAAAATCGGTAGGCAGAGATTCCATGAAGGAAGATATATCCTCCATTTTAGGAGACTTCAAATCCTGCTTTAAGTTCTTCCTTTCTTCAACAGACATTCCTTCCCTGAGTGCGGACTTACTGTCAATAGTTCTTCCTGTAAATATGACAGGGAAGTATCTTGACTACTTTCCAACACCAAATTTTTAGCCTCTGCAATAAAATCAAGCTCAGAAGCAATAGATTTTTCAAATTCCGTTACAAGCCATTGAAACCTATATCCAGGGAAGATCCATCCAACTGATTTCGACAGCAAAGACATAGTTACAAGGTCAAATTTCATTTGATACTCCAATCCAAGATACTGCACCTTCACCGCCACTTCCTGACGGTCTTTTACTAAAACAGCATGGTGTACTTGAGCAATAGATGCAGCAGCAACCGGAACCTCATCGAAGGAGAAAAAAAACTCCGATAAACAACTTAAACCTAAATTACTAACACATGTTTAATCGATTCAAACTGAAAAGGAATAGCATGATCCTGTAATGAAGAAAGTGTTGTTGAGTATTCTTTTGGTACTTGATTAATGGCAGCAACAAACTGACCTGCTTTGATGTAAATACCTTTATTTGCTTCACACATCATTAGAATTCTCTTTGCTGATTGAGTCCGTATAGTGAGAACTTGTAGTCGATGACAGTGGAAGTTATGGTGAAGAGAGCTAGGGAGGAGCGAACAACGCCATTGATGAATTTATGTTATGGTACAGCACAATTTTACTGATGGGATGGCTTTGGGAAGTGCATTCCTCCTTCATGGATCAGTTGGTGGGTGGTCAAGAATTTTGTTTCTTCTCGCACATGAGCTCCTTCAAGATTGAACCATGTTGTGTTATGCACTGGTCAGTATTAATGGATCAATATTCTGCTGTTCTTATTGCATTTGATTGAACCATGTTGTGTTATGCTATGTAGACATTGACATTGGGACAGGATTCTGGTCATTCGTTATTGATTGAGGTGAGATTCTTCTTCAAGCTTCAGTAGAGATACTTTTGTCGAGTTCATAGAAGAGAGCCTCTCTTATTTCAAATATAATCTCTCAGGGATTCACTGCTGGCGGTTTCATCTACATTTCAGTTGCTGGAGTGTTGGCTGAAATGAATAATAGTGGCAGGACGATGTTAGTGAATACAGTAATCCAACTTATCTCGCTGGTATCAGGGATGGCTGTTGCTCTTTGCATCTCTCTTATTGAATGACAGTATACGCTACTTCTTGTGTTCGTAGAGAGGAGAGACGGTTGTCATCTCCCCCGGCAGGGATGAGAACAGCCTTCAGGTGTTTACCATTTACGACACATCCAGCCAGACAAAACACATGTATCAAGGAAGCACACTATAATGTAATGAAATACAGCAGTGTACAATGTGCATCGTTGCATATCTCCTTTTTCTTTGTGTTATGTTGCTTCATATTCATACTCATAAGTATGCACATCTAGACACCTCAACTCATCAGTCATCTCCTCTGTGTCAGTTGTACACTCCAACTTGCAAAATGATCATCTAAACTCTTTCAAGATTTATAGTGTCACTTTAGCATCGGGTGTTCACGAGACACAATGGAGACAGGTTGAAGTATTTAGTTGTCAATTGAGGTGTTTAGATGTATACTCTCAAAGTCGAGAAATACAAAGAAATCATCTCACTGAGCCATAAAAAATTTCAGATACAGAACATTCAATGATCAAAGATATATAAGGTAGCATTTATTAGTCTGAGCCAAGAAGCTGATAAAAAAGCAAGTTAAAAGAAAATAGTAAAGTAACCAAACTGCTTGAAAAGTGAAATTCAAAGAAGAAAGAGCTAGAAAGAAACCAAGTCTATCTTGTGATATGCGCGATGAAAGAATCCAACTCTATTTGAGAAGCTCCCCCTTTCTCTGTGGACTGTCTTACAGCTTCTCCCAATTCTTCTGCTCTTTTTCTTATCAGGTCACCTTCTTCTGATGCCATCAACTTCCTCACGACATTCTTAATAGTGGATGCACTTACTACCTCCTCACGTTTCCCCCAATCTCTAACATGCAGGCCTATTTTCAATATTTCTGTCACCAAGAAACCATTTATTGGTTGATCAGTGTGTATAGGCCAAGCAGCTATAGACACTCCCATAGTAATACTCTCTAAGCAAGAGTTCCAATCACAATGACTCATGAACCCGCCTGTAGACGAATGAGCCAAGATTCTGATTGTGGTGTCCATTCTCTTACCACTAACCCGACCTCTTTTACTCTTTCCTCAAATCCTTCAGGCAACTCAACTTTTCTAGCTTCCCCTTTAAAGATATCTCCTCTATCGGCATCTCTCAGCACCCATATAAACCTCTGTTTACTCTGCTCTAATCCCATCGCGAGCTCCTTGATTTGTCTATCAGAAAATGAAGTTGTTGTTCCAAAAGATACATAAAGAACTGATCTTGGAGGTTGTTTGTTCAGCCAATCCAAACTTATATTCGAGATGTAATCGAATTTAGTAGGCAGAATAGGTCCAATTGCCCATTGTTTCTTGTTCAGACTAATTTCTGCTTGTTCCATCAAATCAATATACTTGCTTTCAATTACTTTACTTGTATTATGGATATCACCTGATCTAATATCCATAAATGGATGTTGAGAATCTGATAAGTCCATAGCTTCATCTGTTGTAACTCCTTCAAAGGAGTATAGCTTATTAAGCAATTCTTCTTCATGTTGGCCAGAAATCTTTAAAAATAAGCACATCATAATATAGCATGAGAAAGCTGAAATGCAGTTAAATATATAGGATTCAGCATTGAGCAAAGAAGAAACATCTTGAACATTGTAAGACATCATAGGATCATGAACAACTATGACTCGTCTTACTTTTGATGAAATATTGCGTATGAAAGAAGCAATGGGATCGCGAAGAAGCATAGAAACATCCCATACTGTCTCAAGATTTGATGAGGATATTAGTTCAGGATTTGGAAGGTCATGGAAGTGAAGTTTGGCTATGTTTGAAGGATTTAATGTGTTAGCTTGAATCCTGGCTTGATGATTATGTGTTGCCAATCCAACATAGTAGACAGGAAGTTGATAGGAGGAGATTAAACATGAAAGTTGGAGAAGTTGGTTAAGATGGCCTTGAGATGGAAATGGAACCATAACTATAGCTACTTCATCTTGTTTCAGTTTGCTAAATTCATGGTTTTCTACTTGTGTCATGGTAGAAGCAGGGCTATCAATAGGTGAACAACTTTGAAGTTTATTCAATCTTTTATAAAAGATGTTGTTGAAGTGAGTGTGTATATATACTAGTGGTTAAAGGCGTCGTAAAATTCTTTGAGGTTGTGTGTTCAAGTCCTACCAGCTTCATAATTATACTCATTTTCTTACTACAATCGTCGACATCCTTAAAAACAATTATGGGTCCACTACTGTGTGTATGTATGTAAGAGGTTGTCCCAATTTATGTGGCGTTTTTCATTTTTCGTTTTTCGAGAGTCAAACAGTTTAAGTTTGATCGAAAATTTACGCTTTTCGAATTTTTTTAAATGAAAGTTATATATTTGTAAATTAAGTAAAAAGTAATATCAGTCACAATAATTGACAAATTAAAATAATTAAAAGATAAATGAAAAATTTATGATCAAAGATAGTTTTGTTTGAATCTCAAAATTCGAAAAGTGTCACATAAATTAAAACAAAAGGAGTATTATTTTTGAATTATTGGGTCTAGGTTATACAACATACTCCGTACTACTACAAAGATTTGGAGACGTGGCAAAAAAAAAATATGTGGTGCACATGTTTTGGAGTTCTGCATAAATGTTCACATGAAAAGACTAAAAGCTTATTTTAGCAAAATATCACCCGTTTGGCCATAGATTTTTCAAGTAATATTGGGGGGAAATTTGGCAAATAGTGTTTGTCCATACAATTTGTCATTATTTGGAAAATATTTTTGGCAAATATCTCAAATTCCCAAATACTAGTTTTTTCTAGTATTTGGGGAAAATCTCATTATTTGGGATCTTTTAGAAATTGAAATTTTACACCAAATTTTTATCTTTACAAAAACACCCTCTATAGTAGTTGTTGCGTTGTATTACATAATTTTTTACGTGAACACCAAAGTAGAGATGAAATATTCTCTTAATGTGAAGTGATGATATAGTTGTTGATGAAAATGATGAACAATCGGCTCAGGGTAACAAAGTCATGTGCTTTGTTTACTTCACAATATGTGGAACGATGCTTGTTGCACTCACTCCAAACTACCACATTACTCTAGTGTCATGGACACTACTTGTTATTTGTTGCAACGAATATCCAATTAACTTGTAATACAAACTTATGGTTAGTTTTGATAATTTTTAAAACTTATGAGTATAAATCATATTTTTCTAAAAAAGTGAAATATGCTTCCCAAATACTATGGCCAAACACAATGGTGAAATTTCATCCGAATTTTCACCCAAATAATATTTGCCAAGAATATTTGAAAATTTATGGCCAAACGCTAGCTTAAAAAGTTGATTGACTTATTTGTCCTTTTTAAGTTCAAAATTTTCCTCCATATGAAAAATTACTATAAGATATAAATGTAATTTTATATTACGATTAAACAAAACATTTTTCTATTAGGACTAAATTCATTGCAGAATACATATTATCCTACTAATAATAGGATCATATCATTAAATCTATTTCAAGCAAATTAAAAATAGGAAATTGCTACATGTTTTAGGGGTGAGCAAAAACCGAACCGACCAATAAATCGAATCGAAAAAATATTATTGGGTTATTGGATTTTTAATGGGTTTATAAAAATAAGTTATTGGGTTATTGGGTAAACCGATAACCCAATAAGACGGTAATAATTTACTATTAGATATTAATAATTTAATATATAACTAGACACTATAACTATATCAAATTATTAGTATTTTACCCAATTCACACTAGACCGCTTTACTAGTTTTTACTTTTTAATCAAAACCTAAAGACTAAAGTAAGGGTTCGCAATTGTAGCTATTTGATTTTAGTTTTAGTTTTAGTTTTAGTCTTGTTGGACTATTTGATTTCAGTTTTAGTTTTCAACGGTAGGTTGTAGCTTTTGCATGTTTGTAAATGTCTGTAATTTGATAAACATAAGAAATTTCATACTATGTTTTGACGGTGACATGTAATTATAACCTCCGTACTATATTTTCTCTTATTGATGCAATTTCTCATTATTTTTCTTGTTTTACTATATCAAAGCATTTAGAGAAGTGAGAAGTCATATAATATTTTACATACATTTTCTTATTGGGTAAACCGAACCGATAACGACCAAAAATCGATAAAGAATATCTTATTAATTTGTTATTGGGTTAGCATATTTAAAACCGATAAATCGAATCTATAATATATAAAACTAAACTGAATCGATCGATACACACCCTAATACGTTTAATATTTATTTTAATTAATTTTCACGCACCTCATTGATAAATTGTTACACGTTTAATATTTATTTCAATCAGCACATCATTTATAATCTGGTGGCACATCAATTCTACTTTATTATTATTTGGATTTGGATAAAGCTGTCTGTGGGGACATTGTCATATGGACTAGTAAAGCTGACACATTCTAATTTTGTTTTGTTTTGTTTTTATTATATATAGTATTAAAATTGATATAGAAACGCGTAATCTCTATATTAAATCAAAATAATTATGAATAAGAAAATATTGCTAAAAAAGAAAACCAGACAGTTAATACGAAAATCAACACACAAGAATAATTTTTAAAAAAACTGTAAGAACGACATATGGCAACAAATATCGAGGAGCAAGACACTACATGAATAACACTAATACTACGACATACATGCATGGTGCTTTGGACCATCACCAAGCCTAATCTCATGTTGAAAATTAAGCGCAAAAATGTCAACTACAATAAAATCTCACTAAATTAATACTCGATCAATTAATAATTTCTCTAAGATAATAATTTTCTCTGATCTCGATTTGGGCCAATGGAAAAAATCACTCATTAAGATAATAAGATAATAAATTTTTCAGAAGATCCCTATATAAATATACAGTCCCATTAATATTATAAATTAATAATTCTTTAAAAGTACAAATATATCTAAGAAAATTCAATGAAATATGATTCTATTTTGTTCTTTTTTTTGTTAAAATTTAAATCTAGTTGAAGCTTATCTCTAACTTTTCCTATTGCATCCAAAAATTTCGGTGTTGTCTTTTCTAGTTATACCATAAAATTGTGAAGAGTTCTAGATGTAAGTGTTTCCTTACGTGTAACGGGTTGCAAAGATATTGTATCATCTTCAACTTTATCATCAACATTGTTTTTCCAATGATATCAATAATTTGTTCTAAGCTCTGGACCTCTGGACATGTAACGTCCATTTATTGCAGTAACTGAGATCTTTAATCATGACCTTAAGTTCATGAACGACGTTTCCACAAGTGGATTCTTTCAAATTCTTTGAGATTTCATCCCTGAACAATTTTTTTAGTGTCGACACACTCTTTAAATTAATAAATTTTAATTTATCGATTAAATAGTAATAATATTTCATGGTCCCGCCTATATTAATTTAGAGAGGTTTGATTGTACCTGCTAACATTTTACCCCAATCTGCAACCTTTGTACCCTCTTATCTAAGGTCATATCCTTAGTCAGGGGCGTATCTAGAGGGGGTGCCGTGGGTTCACGTGAACTCATGCTCCCCTCTCTAGATCATATATAGCAGTGTTATCTTTTTAAAAAAATATTTAAATTTAACTGTGTGAAGCCACGATCAAAGTATCATATAATACTACGATGATGAGTGGGTGCACCTCTCTAAGTAAGAATAATAATTTAAATCTTTTATCTATCTCATTTTTTTGAGTAACACCTCTCTAAGTGGTTATCAGTTACTATTTTGGTGTTTCAACTATTTTTTCTTTTGTTTTTTCCTTTAAGTTTTCAAAATTTTCAAGTGTGTAACATTAAAAATTCCTAAAATTTTTAGCACTATAATATTTTATATAATTAAATGAAATGTATGTTTTAAAATTATTATATATTTTGGACCTGTGAAATTCAATGAAGGTTGATGTACTTCCTCATTTCCATTTTACTTTTCGCGTTTACTATTTACATCTTGGCAAGAGAGATAGTCCTTCTATTTGTATAATATGGTGTTGTAGCTATTTTCATGTGATTCTGTTGGTCTCTCGATGAAGAAAATGACTTATGCGATAATAACTATTAGTACTTTTGTAGTTGAGTGAACATCTGAGAAATCATAGTGAAAGAATTGAAAAGTTCATCACAGCTGATTTTCCCAACAAATAGTAAAAACTTGTTGTGTCTTCAAATATTCCCAAAAATCTGAAGGATTACACTCTCTAACTTAATTACTATCATTAACCAGAGGTATTAGGTTCGAGCTTTAATCTAAAATCACCCTTGGCATGAAGTATTGTACCTTTCAAAGTGAGACTTTTTGTCCGTAATTAGGATTAGTCAAACTCCAAAATGAATATCAAACATCGGATCGAAACAAATTATGCCAAAAAAAAAATGTACTCCTTTAGACAGACAGTGTGTGTTTTCTGATATTATGTAGTCCTGGAGCATTACAAGATCATCTAAAAAACAGACAAATATATAAAGTAAACAAAATACTTGAAAAGAGAAACCAAAAATGAAAAATATCTAGAAGACCAATTATCACTATCTTCCAAAACTATGGTGAATGGTCACAATAGTATTTCTGCAATCTGCACCACATACTTTTCTTTCCTCACATCCAAATTTTTTTGTCAGATGATATGTCCTTTTGTCTTGTAATACCATGATTGATTTATGTATTGAAAACATCTTTAAACTTGACGTAAATTATTAGTTTTATCCCCAAATTATTGACAGTCTTAAAAACACTCTCTACTTGACTAACTAAACTAAGATAATACACCCCGATCTACCACATGACATAGCAACTAGTCTCAAACTCTTGTAGGAGCAAGGGGTTCTTAATAAAAAGTCGAGAGAAGTGTCGAAAACAATCCTTAACTTGGCGAGGATTTAGAGGCGTATTTCACTCATGTTGCAAGATCACAGGTGTATTTAAGTTCAGTTAGTCAAGTGAAGGAATATTTTTAAGGCTGTCAATAGCTCGGAAATAAAACTAATGATTCACGCTGAGTTTTAAGTGTGTTTTCTATACTTCTCTCTTTTAAACAATTCTCATAGACTTTACAGTTGTTGCCCTGCTTCTACCATGACACAAACTCAATCAGGAGAGGATCCAACAGAAGTACAAAACTCCAGTTTGTCATCGTCCATGTATAGCTGTGAGAATTTACCAAACCATGTAGTAACTATTGTAATGGTTCCATTTCCAGCTCAAGGTCATCTTAACCAACTTCTCCAACTTTCATGTTTGATCTCCTCCTATGGTCTTCCTGTCTACTATGTTTGTTCAGCCACACATAATCGTCAAGCCAGGATTCGAGCTAACGCGTTAAATCCTTCAGACATAGCCAAAATTCACTTCCATGACCTTCCAACTCCTGAATTTGACTCACCATCACCTGACTTTAATGCCTTGAGCAAATTCCCATCACATCTTCAACCATTGTGGGATGCTTCTATGCTTCTTCGCGAGCCCATTGCTTCTTTCTTAGGCGATATTTCATCAAAAGCAAAACGGGTCATTGTTGTTCATGATCTTTTAATGTCCTATAATGTTCAGGATGTTTCTTCTTTGCCCAATGTGGAATCCTATGTATTTAACTGCATTTCAGTTTTCACTTCATTCTGTTTGCAAAGCTTATCAGGTGGCAGGATGTCTATACAACATGAAGAAGAATTGCTTAAAAAGCTACCCTCCCTTGAAGGAATTGCTACAGATGAAGCCAGGGACTTTTCAGCTTCTCAGCGTCGGTATATGGATATTAGATCAGGTGATATCTATAATACAAGCAAAGTAATTGAAGGTAAGTTTCTTGATTTGTTGACACAAGTAGCAAGTGATCAGAACAAGAAAAATTGGGCAATTGGACCAGTTTTGCCTACTAAACTAGATCGTATCTCGAATAGGGAGAATATATGTTTGGATTGGCTTAACAAACAACCTCCAAGATCAGTTCTTTATGTATCTTTTGGAACAACAACTTCATTTTCCGATAGGGAAATCAAGGAGCTTGCAATGGGATTAGAGCAGAGTAAACAGAGGTTTATATGGGTGTTGAGAGACGCCGATAGAGGAGATATCTTTACTGAGGAAGCTAGGAAAGTTGAGTTGCCTGAAGGGTTTGAGGAAAGAGTAAACGGGGTCGGGTTAGTGGTAAGAGAATGGGCACCACAACCAGAAATATTGGCTCATTCGTCTACAGGCGGGTTCATGAGTCATTGTGGATGGAATTCTTGTATAGAGAGCATTACTATGGGGGTTCCTATAGCTGCTTGGCCTATGCACTCTGACCAACCAATGACTGGTTTCTTGGTGACGGACGTGTTAAAAATAGGCCTGATTGTGAGGGAGTGGGAGAAACGCGAGGAGTTGGTGAATGCATCCACCATTGAGAATGTTGTGAGGAAGTTGATGGCATCAGAAGAAGGCAATGTTATTAGAAAAAGAGCAGAAGAATTGGGAGAAGCTGTAAGGCAGTCCACAGAGAAAGGGGGAGCTTCTCGAATGGAGATGGATTCTTTCATCGCGCATATCACAAGATAGACTTCATTTTCAAGTATTTTGGTTACTCCCTTAAACTTTTATGCCTATGGGTGAGATGATTGCTTTGTATTTCTTTCTTAACAGATAATCTGGTTTAAACATGAATAAATGTTTGCGTATCTTAATCTGTTTATTTGTTCTAATTAGAGTAAAAAAGCATCTTTAGAGTTGTCTATCGGAAACTACCTCTCATGCTCAACACCAATTTTAAAAGCACACATGACGATCGAGCAAGATCCTAACTTTCAGACGTGTACATGTATTATTTAAATGGTTAAATGTGATGCAAACATGTGAAATTTTCAAACTTGCTAACTAATTTGGATAACATCACCATTATTGATGAGCAAACATTCATTATAGTATCAAATACATGTCGACTTAAATGGTGATGAAACTTTGAACTTGCAGACATGTTATCCAATATAATAAGCAAATTAAAATTTAACACAAGTCCAGCTATTTTTACCTTGTAAATAATACATGTTGAACTAACTTGGAATTTTCAACAACACCAGCTGAAAATTAGGATCTTGCTCCTCAGATGTGTTTACAATTAGCATTTTAACTTTATATTTAATGCATAGTTTCTAGTTCATGACAGTAAATTAAATAATATCATGAACAGACTGACATTATATATATTCACTTGTTAAAGCCTTGTTATAATTGAGCATTTAGATAACACCAAACTAGCCTCTTGTGATGAATGTCCAGGAAGCTGTGAATTTCATTGAAGGTTGATGTACTTCCTCATTTCCATTTTACTTTTCGCGTTTACTATTTACATCTTGGCAAGAGAGATAGTCCTTCTATTTGTATAATGTGGTGCTGTAGCCATTTTCATGTGATTCTGTTGGTCTCTCGATAAAGAAAATGACTTGTGCGATAATAACTATTAGTACTTTAGTAGTTGAATGAACATATGAAAAATCACAGTGAAAGAATTGAAAAGTTCATCACAGCTGATTTTCCCAACAAATAGTAAAAACTTGTTGTGTCTTCAAATATTCCCAAAACTCTGGAGGATTATGCTCTCTAACTTAATTACTATCCTTAATCAGAGGCATCAGGTTCGAGCCTTAATCTGAAATCACCTTTGGCATGAAGTGTTGTACCTTTCAAAGTGAGACTTTTTGTCCGTAATTAGGATTAGTCAAACTCTAAAATGAATATCAAACATCGGATAAAACATTTACAAATTATGCCAAAAAAAATGTACTCCTTTAGACAGACAATGTGTGTTTTCTGATATTATGTAGTCCTGGAGCATTACAAGATCATTTTAAAAACAGACAAATATATAAAGTAAACAAAATACTTGAAAAGAGAAACCAAAAATGAAAAAAATCTAGAAGACCAATTATCACTAGTTTCCAAAACTATGGTGAATGGTCACAATTCCTCTGCAATCTGCACAACATACTTTTCTTACACATCCCATTTTTTTTGTCATGTAATGTCCTTTTGTTATGTAATAAGGTGAAAGTTACATAGCCAAGATAGATTTCTGTATAGAAAACATCCTTGAGGCGCAAATTATTAGTTCTGTCATTAAGCTATTGACAGCCTTAAAAACACATTCTACTTGACTAACTAAACTAAGATACACCCCGATCTACCACATGACATAGCAAGTGGTCTCAAACTCTTGTAGGAATAAGGGGTTCTTAATAAAAAGCTGAGAAAAGTGTTGAAAACACGCCTAAACTTAGCAAGAATTTAGAGGAGTATTTCACTCATGTTGCAAGATCGAGGGTGTATTTAAGGCTGTCAATAGCTCGGGAATAAAACTAATGATTCATGCTGATTTTAAGTGTGTTTTCAATACTTGTCTCTTTAAACAATTCTCATAGACTTAAAAGTTGTTGCCCTGCTTCTACCATGACACAAACTCAACCAGGAGAGGATCCAACAGAAGTACAAAACTCCGGTTTGTCGTCATCCATGTATAGCTGTGAGAATTTACAAAACCATGAAGTAACTATAGTTATGGTTCCATTTCCAGCTCAAGGCCATCTCAACCAACTTCTCCAACTTTCATGTTTAATTTCCTCCAATGGTCTTCCTGTCTACTATGTTTGTTCAGCCACACATAATCGTCAAGCCAGGATTCAAGCTAACGCCTTAAATCTTTCAGACATATCCAAAAGTTCACTTCCATGACCTTCCAACTCCTAAATTTGACTCACCATCACCTGACTTTAATGCCTTGAGCAAATTCCCATCACATCTTCAGCCATCGTGGGATGCTTCTATGCTTCTTCGCGAGCCCATTGCTTCTTTCTTACGCAATATTTCATCAACAGCAAAACGGGTCATTGTTGTTCATGATCTTTTAATGTCCTATAATGTTCAGGATGTTTCTTCTTTGCCCAATGTGGAATCCTATGTATTTAACTGCATTTCAGTTTTCACTTCATTCTGTTTGCAACGCTTATCGTGTGGGATGTCTATACAACATGAAGAAGAATTGCTTAAAAAGCTACCCTCCCTTGAAGGAATTGCTACAGATGAAGCCAGGGACTTTTCAGCTTCTCAGCGTCGGTATATGGATATTAGATCAGGTGATATCTATAATACAAGCAAAGTAATTGAAGGTAAGTTTCTTGATTTGTTGGCACAAGTAGCAAGTGATCAGAACAAGAAAAATTGGGAAATTGGACCAGTTTTGCCTACTAGACTAGATCGTATCTCGAATAGGGAAAATATATGTTTGCATTTGCTTAACAAACAACCTCCAAGATCAGTTCTTTATGTATCTTTTGGAAAAACAACTTCATTTTCCACTAGGGAAATCAAGGAGCTCGCGATGGGATTAGAGCAGAGTAAACAGAGGTTTGTATGGGTGTTGAGAGACGCCGATAGAGGAGATATCAAGGCATTAAAATCAGGTGATGGTGAGGCAAATTCAGGAGTTGGGATGTCATGGAAGTGGACTTTGGCTATGTCTGAAGGATTTAAGGCGTTAGCTCGAATCCTGGCTTGACGATTATGTGTGGCCGAGCCAACATAGTAGACAGGAAGACCATAGGAGGAGATTAAACATGAAAGTTGGAGAAGTTGGTTAAGATGTCCTTGAGCTGGAAATGGAACCATAACTATAGCTACTTCATCTTGTTTCAGTTTGCCAAATTCATGGTTTAGTAAATTCTCATGAAAGCGGAGTTTTGTACTTGTGTTGTATCCTCCCTGTGATAGGTAGAAGCAGGCTTATCTATATTCATCCTTCTGTATTTCTTCAAGGTATCAACTTTGAATTCTGTGAGAACTGAACAGAACTAGTAAACACATGTAAGACTTGGAAATTTCGATTAACCGTCTATAAAAGATGTTCTTGAAGTGTTTGTAGATTGAACAAAGGTTAGCAGAAACACGCCATCTTCGTTCAAATTATAGCAAATTCAATCAAAATCCCTTTGAATTACTCGAATCATGTGTCAGCGTGTGAGTGAGTATGTATGTATGTATGTAATAGGATAGAATAGGAAATCCAAACCTTTGAAAATGTGTGAAGATAAGAGGATAAGAGCAAATTCAGACCTTTGAAATGTTTGCTTGTGTGAAAGGAAGAAATATCCTGAACATTAAAGGACATTAAAAAATCATGAACGACAACAACTCGTCTTGCTTGAGACAAAATGTCCCTAAAGAAGGAAGCAATGGACTCGCGAAGATGCATACAAGTGTCCCAAATCAAGGGGATCTTAGCTATGTCCGAAGGATTTAAGGCGTTGGCTCGAGCCATTGCCTGATGGTTGTAGTTGGCTAAGCCAACATAGTAAACAGTGAGACCATAAGAAGAAATTAGACTACCATCCAGAGTTTTAAGCGTGTTTTCAATACTTCTCTCTTTAAACAATTCTCATAGACTTAAAAGTTGTTGCCCTCCTTCATGGATCAGTTGGTGGGTGGTCAAGAACTTTGTTTCTTCTCGCACATGAGCTCCCTCAAGATTGAACCATGTTGTGTTATGCACTGGTCAGTATTAATGGATCAATATTCTGCTGTTCTTATTGCATTTGATTGAACCATGTTGTGTTATGCTATGTAGACATTGACATTGGGACAGGATTCTGGTCATTCGTCATTGATTGAGGTGAGATTCTTCTTCAAGCTTCAGTAGAGATACTTTTGTCGAGTTCATAGAAGAGAGCCTCTCTTATTTCAAATATAATCTTTCAGGGATTTGCTGCTGGCGGTTTCATCTACATTTCAGTTGCTGGAGTGTTGGCTGAAATGAATAATAGTGGCAGGACGACGTTAGTGAATACAGTAATCCAACTTATCTTGCTGGTATCAGGGATGGCTGTTGCTCTTTGCATCTCTCTTATTGAATGACAGTATACGCTACTTCTTGTGTTCGTAGAGAGGAGAGACGGTTGTCATCTCCCCCGGCAGGGATGAGAACAGCCTTCAGGCGTTTACCATTTATGACACATCCAGCCAGACAAAACACATGTATCAAGACTAGTGTTAGACATCTTGAATATTTATATAAATCTACAAGCAGGGGAAAAAATTTACTCCTTCCGTTTCAATTTATGTGACATGTTTTCTTTTTGGTCCATCTAATATGGGGGAATTTCATAAATATGAGTGAAAGCATAAAATATTTTATAATCTATAATATAAACAAGGTAAATGAGTAAATGAGAATTCCTTTGGTGGCAGTTCTCCTGTAGTGAGGAAACTATGAAATAAGGAAGCACACTATAATGTAATGAAATACAGCAGTGTACAATGTGCATCGTTGCATATCTCCTTTTTCTTTGTGTTATGTTACTTCATATTCATACTCATAAGTATGCACATCTAGACACCTCAACTCATCAGTCATCTCCTTTGTGTCAGTTGTACACTCCAACTTGCAAAATGATCATCTAAACTCTTTCAAGATTTATAGTGTCACTTCAGCATCGGGTGTTCACGAGACACAATGGAGACAGGTTGAAGTATTTAGTTGTCAATTGAGGTGACTCTCAAAGTCGAGTTTGAGTATTTGTTTATGTATTATGCTTAACAGAAAACATCTCCCTGTTAGAACCAGATTAAGTTGTGCTCTTCAGTAAGAGAAATACAAAGAAATCATCTCACTGAGCCATAAAAAATTTCAGATACAGAACATTCAATGATCAAAGATATATAAGGTAGCATATATTAGTCTGAGCCAAGAAGCTGATAAAAAAGCAAGTTAAAAGAAAATAGTAAAGTAACCAAACTGCTTGAAAAGTGAAATTCAAAGAAGAAAGAGCTAGAAAGAAACCAAGTCTATCTTGTGATATGCGCGATGAAAGAATCCAACTCTATTTGAGAAGCTCCCCCTTTCTCTGTGGACTGTCTTACAGCTTCTCCCAATTCTTCTGCTCTTTTTCTGATCAGGTCACCTTCATCTGATGCCATCAACTTCCTCACGACATTCTTAATAGTGGATGCACTTACTACCTCCTCGCATTTCCCCCAATCTCTAACAAGCAGGCCTATTTTCAATATTTCCGTCACCAAGAAACCATTTATTGGTTGATCAGTGTGTATAGGCCAAGCAGCTATAGGCACTCCCATAGTAATACTCTCTAAGCAAGAGTTCCAACCACAATGACTCATGAACCCGCCTGTAGACGAATGAGCCAAGATTTCTGGTTGTGGTGTCCATTCTCTTACCACTAACCCAACCCCTTCTACTCTTTCCTCAAATCCTTCAGGCAATTCAACTTTTCTATCTTCCCCTTTAAAGATATCTCCTCTATCGGCATCTCTCAGCACCCATATAAACCTCTGTTTACTCTGCTCTAATCCCATCGCAAGCTCCTTGATTTGTCTATCAGAAAATGAAGTTGTTGTTCCAAAAGATACATAAAGAACTGATCTTGGAGGTTGTTTGTTCAGCCAATCCAAACATATATTCGAGATGTAATCGAATTTAGTAGGCAGAATAGGTCCAATTGCCCATTGTTTCTTGTTCAGACTAATTTCTGCTTGTTCCATCAAATCAATATACTTGCTTTCAATTACTTTACTTGTATTATGGATATCACCTGATCTAATATCCATATATGGATGTTGAGAATCTGATAAGTCCATAGCTTCATCTGTTGTAACTCCTTCAAAGGAGTGTAGCTTTTTAAGCAATTCTTCTTCATGTTGGCCAGAAATCTTTAAAAATAAGCACATCATAATATAGCATGAGAAAACTGAAATGCAGTTAAATATATAGGATTCAGCATTGAGCAAAGAAGAAACATCTTGAACATTGTAAGACATCATAGGATCATGAACAACGATGACTCGTCTTACTTTTGATGAAATATTGCGTATGAAAGAAGCAATGGGATCGCGAAGAAGCATAGAAACATCCCATACTGTCTCAAGATTTGATGAGGATATTAGTTCAGGATTTGGAAGGTCATGGAAGTAAAGTTTGGCTATGTTTGAAGGATTTAATGTGTTAGCTTGAATCCTGGCTTGATGATTATGTGTTGCCAATCCAACATAGTAGACAGGAAGTTGATAGGAGGAGATTAAACATGAAAGTTGGAGAAGTTGGTTAAGATGGCCTTGAGATGGAAATGGAACCATAACTATAGCTACTTCATCTTGTTTCAGTTTGCTAAATTCATGATTTTCTACTTGTGTCATGCCTAGAAGCAGGGCTATCAATATTCAATATACAAGGTAAACAACTTTGAAGTTTGTTCAATTTTTTGTAGAAGATGTTGTTGAAGTGAGTGTGTATATATATACTAGTGGTTAAAGGCGTCGTATAATTCTTTGAGGTTGTGTGTTCAAGTCCTACCAGCTTCATAATTATATTCATTTTCTTACTACAATCGTCGACACCCTTAATAATAATTCTGGGTCCGCTACTGTATGTATGTATGTATGAGGTTATCCCAATTTATGTAGTGTTTATTATTTTTCGAGAGAAAATTTGCGTTTTTCAAAATTTTTGAAATGAAATTTATATATTTGTAAATTACGTAAAGAGTACTATAAGTCACAATAATTAACAAATTAAAATAATTAAAAGATAAATGAAAAATTTACGATCAAAGATAGACTTGTTTGAATCTCAAAATTCAAAAATTATCACATAAATTAAAACGGAAGGAGTATTATTTTTGAATTATTGGATCTAGGTTATACAACATACTACTAGAAAGATTTGGAGATGTGGCAAAAAAAAATATGTGGTGCACATGTTTTGGAGTTTTGCATGAATGTTCACATGAAAAGACTAAAAGCTTATTTTAGCAAAATCTCTCATTTAAAAAGTTGATTGACTTATTTGTCCTTTTTAAGTTCAAAATTTTCCTCCATATGAAAAATTACTATAAGATATAAATGTAATTTTATATTACGATTAAACAAAACATTTTTCTATTAGGACTAAATTCATTGCAGAATACATATTATCCTACTAATAATAGGATCATAACATTAAATCTATTTCAAGCAAATTAAAAATAGGAAATTGCTACACGTTTAATATTTATTTCAAGGGAAAAAGGTAAAAAATGCCCTTAAACTATGTGAAAGAAATAAAAATGCCCTTCATTTGTAGTTCGATTCAAAAATATCCTTACTGTCAATATTAAGATCCAAAAATGCCCTTATTGTTATTTAATGAGTCAAAATGCTCATTTTCCAAATAAAATATATCATTTGTTTTCTTTTTTAATACATTCTTTTTCTAATAATATTTTTAAAATTACCAAATATTTATCTTACTTCAATTTAGAAAAAATAAAAATATTTCTTTATTTTATTATAATTATTTTTTATGATGGATATACTATGATCTTATATGTATGGCATATATTATCTATCGAAAGGGTACATGAAGTTATTCTATTTTAACTGATAAAATGAGATTAAGAAGAAAAAAAATTCCTACATTTTTATTTGTTAAAGTGATTTTAAAAGAAAGAAAACATAACCAGAGCTCTTTAATAATATGTTAATTAGGAAGAAGATATGTTTAAAAAGAAAAAAATATATTTATTCGAAAAAGGGCATTTTTGACCCATTTAGTAATTATAGAGGCATTTCTGGACCAAAATATTGACAGCAAGAATATTTTTGAGCTATACTATAAATGAAAGACATTTTTATTTCTTTCACATAGTTTAAGGACATTTTTTACCCTTTTCCCTTGTTTCAATCAATTTTCACGCACCTCATTGGTAAATTGTTACACGTTTAGTATTTATTTCAATCAGCACATCATTTATAATCTGGTGGCACGTCAATTCTACTTTAGTATTATTTGGATTTGGGTAAAGCTGTTTGTGGGGACATTGTCAAATGGACCAGTAAAGCTGACACGTTCTAATTTTGTTTTATTTTATTTTTATTATATATAGTATTAAAATTGATATAGAAACGCGCAATCTCTATATTAAATCAAAATAATTATGAATAAGAAAATATTGCTAACAAAGAAAGCCAGACAATTAATACGAAAATCAACACACAAGAATAATTTTAAAAAAATTGTAACGACATATGGTAACAAATATCGAAGAGCAAGACACTACATGAATAACACTAATACTACGACATACATGCATGGTGTTTGGACTATCACCAAGCCTAATCTCATGTTGAAAATTAAGCCCAAAAATGTCAACTACAGTAAAATCTCACTAAATTAATACTCGATTAATTAATAATCTCTCTAAGATAATAATTTCCTCTGATCTCGGCTTGGGCCAATGGAAAAAATCACTCATTTCAATAACATAATAAGATAATAAATTTTTCAGAAGATCCCTATATAAATATATAGTCCCATTAATATTATAAATTAATAATTCTTTAAAAGTACAAATATATCTAAGAAAATTCAGTGAAATATGATTCTATTTTGTTCTATTTTTTGTTAAATTTTAAATCTAGTTGAAGCTTATCTCTAACTTTTCTTATTGCATCCAAAAATTTCGGTGTTGTCTTTTCTAATTATACCATAAAATTGTGAAGAGTTCTAGATGCAAGTGTTTCCTTACGCGTAACGGGTTGCAAAGGTATTGTATCATCTTCAACTTTATCATCAACATTGTTTTTCCAATGATATCAATAATTTGTTTTAAGCTCTGGACCTCTGGACATGTAACGTCCATTTATTGCAGGAACTGAGATCTTTAATCATGACCTTAAGTTCATGAACGACGTTTCCACAAGTGGATTCTTTCAAATTCTTTGAGATTTCATCCCTAAACAATTTTTTCAGTGTCGACACACTCCTTAAATTAATAAATTTTAATTTATCGATTAAATAGTATCTCTGCAAAATAATAATATTTCATAGTCCCGCCTATATTAATTTAGAGAGGTTTGATTGTACCTGCTAACATTTTACCCCAATCCGCAACCTTTGTACCCTCTTATCTAAGGTCATATCCTTAGTCAGGAGCATATCTAGAGGGGGTGCCGTGGATTCACGTGAACTCATGCTCCCCTCTCTAGATCATATATAGCAGTGTTATCTTTTTTTTAAAATATTTAAATTTAACTGTGTGAAGCTACGTTCAAAGTATCATATAATACTACGATGATGAGTGGGTGCACCTCTCTAAGTAAGAATAATTATTTAAATCTTTTATCTATCTCATCTTTTTGAGTAACACCTCTCTAAGTGGTTATCAGTTACACTTTTGGTGTTTCAACTATTTTTTCTTTTGTTTTTTCCTTCAAGTTTTCAAATTTTTCAAGTGTGTAACATTAAAAATTCCTAAAATTTTTAGCACTATAATATTTTATATATTAAATGAAATGTGTGTTCTAAAATTATTATATATTTTGGACCTGTGAAATTCAATGAAGGTTGATGTACTTCCTCATTTCCATTTTACTTTTCGCGTTTACTATTTACATCTTGGCAAGAGAGATAGTCCTTCTATTTGTATAATATGGTGCTGTAGCTATTTTCATGTGATTCTATTGGTCTCTCGATGAAGAAAATGACTTATGCGATAATAACTATTAGTACTTTTGTAGTTGAGTGAACATCTGAGAAATCATAGTGAAAGAATTGAAAAGTTCATCACAGCTGATTTTCCCAACAAATAGTAAAAACTTGTTGTGTCTTCAAATATTCCCAAAACTCCGAAGGATTACACTCTCTAACTTAATTACTATCATTAACCAGATATATCAGGTTCGAGCTTTAATCTGAAATCACCCTTGGCATGAAGTATTGTACCTTTCAAAGTGAGACTTTTTGTTCGTAATTAGGATTAGTCACTCCAAAATAAATATCAAACATCGGATCGAAACAAATTATGCCAAAAAAAAAAATGTACTCCTTAAGACAGACACCGTGTGTTTTCTGATATTATGTAGTCCTGGAGCATTACAAGATCATTTAAAAAACAGACAAATATATAAAGTAAACAAAATACATGAAAAGAGAAACCAAAAATGAAAAAAATCTAGAAGACCAATTATCACTATCTTCCATAACTATGGTGAATAGTCACAATAGTACTTCTGCAATCTGCACCACATACTTTCTTTCCTCACATCCAAATTTTTTTGTCATATGATATGTTCTTTTGTCTTGTAATACCATGATTGATTTGTGTATTGAAAACATCCTTAAACTTGGCGCAAATTATTAGTTTTATCCCCAAATTATTGACAGCCTTAAAAACACTCTCTACTTGACTAACTAAACTAAGATAATACACCCCGATCTACCAAATGACATAGTAAGTGCTCTTAAACTCTTGTAGGAGCAAGGGGTTCTTAATAAAAAGCCGAGAGAAGTGTTGAAAACAATCCTAAACTTGGCGAGGATTTAGAGGCGTATTTCACTCATGTTGCAAGATCACAGGTGTATTTAAGTTCAGTTAGTCAAGTGAAGGAATGTTTTTAAGACTGTCAATAGCTCGGAAATAAAACTAATGATTCACGCTAAGTTTTAAGCGTGTTTTTCCATACTTCTCTCTTTTAAACAATTCTCATAGACTTTACAGTTGTTGCCCTGCTTCTACCATGACACAAACTCAATCAGGAGAGGATCCAACAGAAGTACAAAACTCCGTTTTGTCGTCGTCCATGTATAGCTGTGAGAATTTACCAAACCATGTAGTAACTAAAGAAAATGTTTGTATTGTATAATTATAAGTGTATAGGACGAAGATATATGTATTTGCATGTGTATATACAATTTTCTCTCGCTTTATACAAACAGAAGTGCAATTTATACATTTTGTTTATGTTTGTATAAACGAGAGAGGCGAGGGTGGCGAGCGAGATTTGGGAGAGTCGCGAGCGAGATCTGGAAGAGGGAAACAAAAATATATGTATATATACAATTTCCCCTCGCTTTATACAAACACAAACACATTTTATACATTTTTATTTGTATAAAAGCGAGAGAGGCGAGCGAGACTGCCACCAAACGAGAGTGGCGAGCGAGATTCCACCAGGGAGAGTGGCGAAAATAGCAATAGTTTGCTATAGGGTACAATTAAATCAAAGTATATTTATAGCATTTAATTTGAATTAATAGTTTGCTATTATATACAATTTTCCCTATAAAATTCAACCAGAATAACATCATTGTAGTTAAAGACAAAATCAATCAATGTATAAATAAGATCGTTATAGTGATATAATTTTATATAACGCATACTGATTATAATATGGTCAAATATAATATAACATGAAAAATCAATTTTATAAAAAAATATAGCACTATAAAAAGGTCTGACTATACGTTTGTGTATATAATAACTTGGACAAAATAACTTGACTTTGTAATAGCATGACACGAAACATTTTTTTATTCGGACTTCTTATTGAGCGTAACGAAATCAAGGTTTAAACCCGCCAATAATTGAGGGATGAGTGGCTGGCAAACATAGACTAAAGAGATGGATTAAGACATATTAAAAAACTAGGCAAAATGGTCTGGTGGATACCTATACTTGTACCCGTTTGTATTGTGAACCCTTCTACTTAACCCTTTGTCATATGAACCCTTACACTTAATAAAACACAATATATCAAACCCCTCTGACCATTGACCATGCTTATGTGGCATTAATATGGTTG